AGATACAAAAGGCAACTGTAAACCAGCTCTACAGGCGGCCCCATCCAGGAAACGCACAGCCAGGTAGATGAGCTCCAAGCCAGCTCCCATGTCAGAGGATGAAGAGAGCACATCCAGTTAGTCACAGTCAGAGAAACAGGACTGCACTGAAAAATAGGCCAAGCTTGAACATCTATAAACAAAGGTTTTGATGGCAGCAGCACAGCTGATATTTCTCTCCAGGATGGAGTCACAGCCAAACAGGAACAGACCAGATGAAACTACTATGAGAAAAAGCAGAGAGAGCAGAACGTTAGAGATTGAACTAACAGATTCTGCAGAGTGGGAGAATAGAGACAGAATGCAGCAGAATTTCTCTGTCATAACAAGTGCTACACTTTAACACAGCAATCATTGACAAAAACACATAAAAGGCACCATTAGAAGACATTTCCCTTGTTGAGATTACACCAGCAGGTCACCAAGCAAAGTCCAGCAGGAGCAGCGTCTTCCAGATGAAACCCAGCTGAACCAGTGGAAGGCTGAACTGATAGTACAGCCAATGTATCCCTCTTTATTGCTCCCTCGCCTCAGCAGCAAATATGTTTGCTTTAAAGGACACCATGAACTGTGGACTTAAGGTCAAACACAGTTTAGCTGCTAACGGCTGCCTTCTTCTAACTACAGAACAACAAAGACTGCTTTTATAAGCGTGTTTACTAGTTTATGGGACAGATCCATTCAAATGTGCTTCTAAAAGTAGATCTTTGTAATCCAGGTTTCTCCTGTCCAGGGGTTGGTCCTAGGATTAAGATGGATTTTAAAGCATCCAATATTATAACCCTTAAAATTGTTCCGGAAGGATAAATCACCTTCAGGGCCTCAAAAGTAAGCATCTGAATCCATGTAGGCATGTTTGACCTCATGCACTCAGACATATGTAGCCACACACATTAGTATTGGTACCCTAATGAAAAAATAAACACACAATGTAATACTATCCTTGTGAGGACTTTGACTTTCCTGGTCTAACCCTGATATAAACCTAGTCTAACCCTGATCTAACCGTGGTCTTAACCTGATCTAACCCTGGTCTAACGGTGATATAAACCTGGTCTAACCCTGATCTAACTGTAGTCTAACCCTGATCTAACCCTGGTTTAACCATAGTGTAACCGTGGTCCAACCCTGACCTAACCCTTGTCTGACCCTGACCTAACCCTGATCTTACCCTGATCTAACCCTGATCTTACCCTGATCTAAACCTGGTCTGACCCTGACCTAACCATAGTCAAACCCTGGTCTAGCCTGGTCTGATTCTGATCTATCACTGGTCTAACCCTGATATTACCCTGATGTAACCCTGGTCCAACCCTGACCTAACCCTGATCTTACCCTATTCTAACCCTGGTTTAACCCTGATCTAACCCTGTTCTAACCCTGATCTAAACCTGGTCTGACCCTGACCTAACCATAGTTTAACCCTGGTCTAACCGTAGTCTAACCCTGGTCTAACCATAGTCCAACCATGGTCTAACCCTGACCTAACCCTGATCTTACCCTGATCTAACCCTGGTCTAACCGCAGTCTAACCCTGGTCTAAACCGGGTCTGAAAAGGGGAATGAAGTAAAACAAAGTGCAGAATATGAAGTGCAGCATAAATTATGAAATCTTTAGCTTTACTTAGAATGGTAATACTTCAGGATATTTTAGTTCATATATATTTTATATGAGGTCTCCAGCTAATCTTATGGTCTATCATTACTCCTAAGAACTGAATTTCCTTAACTCTCTCTTCTATTACATTATCTGTCAGGATACATACCTTTGTTTTACTTTTGCAGTTTCCAAACAACAAATATTGGTTTTATCCAAATTTACTGATAGTTTGTTCATATAAAACCATACCTTAAGTCGACATAACTCAAGGTTGATATTAGCCATAAGCTGAACCAAATGATCACCTGTACGAAAGATGTTACTATCGTCTGCAAATAAAACAAATTTATGTATCTTAGAAACTTTGCAGATATCATTAACATAAAGGATAAATAATTTTGGCCCCCATACTGACCCCTAGGGGACACTAAAAGCAATGTCCAAGCATGATGACTGGCAGTCAGCTATTTGCACAAAATGTTGCCTGTTGCTTAGATAACTTTTCTTCCATAGTAGTACTACTCCCCAAATGCCATAATGGTCCAACTTCTTTAATCATTGTTTCATGATTTATTGTGTCAAAATCTTTTTTTGAGATCAATAAATACACCAACTGCAGATTTTCTATGATCTAAGGCGCTGGTGACACCGGGTCACAGTCCAGTTTTATCTCCTTCAGCAAGAGGAACGAGGCCCCCTGTCCCTCCGCCTGTCTCTCCACCTGTTCCTCCACCTGTTCCTCCACCTGTTCCTGAGCCTGTCCCTCCACCTGTTCCTCCGTGAACTTCATCCCGTCGGGAGACGGCTCACCGGCCGGACAGGGCCCTGACACTGCACCGGCGTAAGGGCGGGGCTTGAGACGCAGTCCGGTGATGATCACATCATTCATTCTGGTATATTGTTCCAAGTCAGCCACTCGGTCTTCTAAAACTGCGACCACTTTGTCCTTTTTCTTATTCAGCCGCTGCAAAGCCCTCACCTCTTCAACCATGTCCAGAATGGACCTTCACTGGAGTCGAATGTCCGATGTTTTTCCAGAAAAGAAATCCAACACTGTCCTTATCTCTTCAAACTCCTCCAAGGCTGGATTCTTCTTAGGGCGCATGCTGGCAACTGTCAGGGTTCTGCCCGGGTTTATTTTTAAGTTTATTTGTGTTCTGTGTCTGTAATTTATTTCTACCAGTGCTGAGTTCTTTAATTATCCTCTGTAGACCCATTGTGTTTGTTTTGTTCCTTTCCCCTTGGCTTCCTCCCAGTTGTCCCAGCTCACACCTGCTCCCAATCAGCTCGTTAGTCCTCCCTTTGTTCAGTCAGCCATAAATACTCTCCCTGTGCAGTTCCTTAGTGCTGGTTACTCGTCTTTCCCTGGCTCTTTCTGCTTGTTTCCCCTGATGTCTCCATGGTTCTGGTGTGTTTTACATTTTTTAATTGGATTTTTGGATTCCTGCCTCTGTTACCTGTGAGAACTCAATTAAAACTACAAGAACTCGCCTTTGCCTCCCTGCCTCTGCATTTGGGTCGTGAAACCTCCAAAAAACCTGACAGCAACAGGAAGGTAAACTCCACCGTGCAACAGCTAAGACACCAGTAACCCCAATACGCCACTTCCACGCCTTTGGCAGAACTTGAAACAAAGCTTCTAGGAGAACGTCCTCTGGACAAAGGAGACAAACATGGAGCTTCATGCCTATAACTGTCAGCTCTATGTTCACAGATGGAAAAATGAAGCAGATCCAGAAAAGCAGAAACATGGAGGAGGCTGTGTTATGCTGTGGGCTGCTTTGCTTCATCTGAATCTCTGAATCTCCAATGAAATCTCCAGATTATCAGGGATGGTAGAGAGAAATGTGCTGCAGTGTCAGAAAGCTTGGTCTCAGCAGCAGCTCATGGGTCTGAAACAGGATCAGGAACCAAAACACAGAAACAGCCGAGAACAGCTGAGAGGAAATCATTGGACTGAAGGGGCCCCTAGGGGCCCTGACCTCCATTCTATTGAGCATCTATGGAAGGAGCGTCAGGAGAGGCAACCTGAGCAGAATAGCTGCTGGGAGGAACAGAGGGCTGATTGACTGGAACAGGAATCAATCATGGCAGAGATCTTTTGCAACAAAATAATGAGTTTGACAACATATCTGTTGTCATTATTTGTTCCTCTACAGTTAGCTTCTATAGCTAGCCTTGGTCATACGCTTAAACATGATCATCAAACTCTAAACTGGAAAAACACAGCCAAAATGTGCTGCTTATTATAAAGAAAAGTTAATGCAAACTTCAGAATATGGCAGAAGTGAAATAATTCAACTTTTGATTATTTACTTTAGACTCCAAGTTTGTGTTAGGATTCTTTTCTATTGATCATGTCTGTGCTTGCTAAACCATAATTTTAGCTGCCTAGTTTATCTAATTAGGACTATTCTTCTGTCAGGATAAAAAGTCATATTCTTCATTATTGGGAATGAAATGGGAGCACAGACAGACAGAGATTATTCTGAACAGTGAGATCTCTGTACATTCTGGTTGTCCTTGCTCTAGAATATTCTATCATCTTGATATGGCTGGAGCCACTGATGTCTCCTCATTTACAAACACGTCTGATGTAATGAAGTGGCATATCTGCCCCTGGAGATGTTTAAAAAGCTTCTTGAACTGATATTCTGGGCCGACTTGGTGAAGAAGTTAGCCTGCTTGGTAAAAGCTGCCATCTGTAACCTGAGCAGTTTTTCTTGTCTGAGTTATATCAGCATTCTGCAATAAATGTTATTTCTAATAGTTATTTAATACATAGACATTATATGGTGTTATTTAAAGTGTTTGTTCAGTGTAATCTCTTCTCTGGAACGAATGGGAAAGCTTAAAGATTCAAACACAGACTTTAATCAAGTTTTCACTGTTTTAGAACAGTGCTAAAAGTCAAGAGACATTATCAGCTGTGTATTTGTTAACTATTACTGTGAACAATCTGGCAGTTCTTTCACAGAAAAAAGTTCATCAATAATTCATTGTTTTCAAGGAAGACTCACATCCATTGCCGACTCATAGGTACACCAGTTCTGATCGTCTTCTCCAACGATTAGCATCAGTGGACACTGGAGTTTTCCCACCTGCGTAAAAAAACAAAAACATTTTTACTTCATTTACTTTCATTTACAAAAGCTGAATTCAGAAATTCCAGGATAATAAATAAAGACAGGCTCAATCCTGGTTTAAGCTGTTTCACAAAGACCAAGCAAGGTTCAACAGGTCTAAGTTTAAGTCATCAAGCTATGTGCAGGTATGCAACTTTCTTTAAGATATCATGAGGTAGCTTGAAAAGTCCAGTTTAGACACCTGGAGGTGAGAGTTTTCTAGGAGACGTTTCTCCTCCATCCAAGAGGTTTCTTCAGGTCTAACTAGTGGTGGGGAGCAGTGATATTAATATACTGGAGGGGGAACAAAGAATTATGGGGTAACTCTGATACCTCCTACTGGATTGGCCTTGGAGGTCACCTGGGGGGGGTTAATGGTCATTAGGGGGGAACACACATTTCATTGCTAACTCACAGGACTTCTCCAGCAGGATAAAGAACCTGACACTGGACACAGAGAGACCATGGTCTCCTATGATGTCACACCCCATCAAAGAAGCAGTCTCCACAGTAAGGATGGGTTTACTTGAAGAACACCCTCTGCCAGACAGGACCAACCCGACCCATCTGACTACATCTGTTCTCTCTTGAACTTGAGCCTCACCACCACATATTACATCTCTCCTGTGTCTCCCATAGTGAAGCTATACATGTAAGAAGTGGAAAGCAGAGCTCTACACTAAAACCCAGTCACTGGTTCAGATCGGTGGATGACACAGGGGTCAAAATAAAGACCAAGGATATCAACGCGATCACAGACCACATCAACGCAGCGGACAGAAACATCCAGTGCAGCCGGGAAGATGTGAAAGATGACAGCCTTGCTGTCATTGGCCTTTTTATCCGTCGGCAGTTAAACTCTTGAAGAAACAAGCAGAAAGCCACCAGCAGACTTCTGGCTTTAGTTACTCACATCCACTTTGAGGGAGGGGTCAGAGGGGATGGGCAGCAGCAGATCTCTCCAGATCACTTCATCATCTTTAGTAAAGCGAGTTTTCCCAGAGTTCCTTAAACAGCAAGGCAGGCCATTGAAATTAAGACACATTTGAACAAACAAACAAACTATGCTTTTTAAACAGATTTTAGAAATGATCCCTTACCTGAAGAAGTAATCCAACGTTTCCTTCAGAAATCCATCCATGGGCTGAACGTGACTGCCACTGATGCATACTGCACACCTGAACTGCTCAACACATCAAATACGTCTTTAGAGATGGATGTTGATCAGATGAAAACAGACAGAAACATGAATGTATGCAGAGTGGATCTGTGCTCCCAGTATCTGAGCTAAGAAGCTCTGAAAACCTCTGCCTGCTAGCCAGACGTCCCATCCCAGTATCAGCCGGAAGTGAAATTGATTTGCATCGGTTCAGGTGGACACTAAGAGATCCAACTGGAGCTGTTCTAAATCAAACCTTGGTAACTTCAGAACAGACAGCCATCCTCAGGGTGATGCTGGTGCCCAGGGAGAGGCCCAGCATGGCCATTCTGCTGCTCAGGACCTTGGGGTGCTTCTGGAGGAATTTAAAGGCCGTCTGCAAGAGGAAAGCATGTTACAGGTCAGAAACACTACAGCTTTATCAGGGCTGTTAAAACTGGACCACCTTAAAGAAGCAGGCAGCTCTGTTCATCCATCCAGAAGAGATTCTCAAAATCATATCCAGTTCCTTACAGGGCATCCATCCACCACTGGGCTCACAAATCAAGCCATTGACTTTCAACCTTTCTGGAGCTGCAGTATATTTTTTGCATTTTCACACTCAGGCACATCAAAACGACACTAACACAGAACATATCATAGATATAGTTAATAATATAGTTTCTAAATGTATTTATGCTCAGTGTAGGAGCCTAAATGCTGTTTATTTTAGTTAGTATATAGTTTTTTTTTTTATTTAAAAATATGCAAAATTCTAAGTAAGATAAATATTGTTTGTGATTTCATGATTCAAAGGGATTTAAAAATGCCATTTATATATGTACAGTAGGGGTGGAACGGTTCAAAAAATCCAGGGTTCGGTTTACGGTTTTTGGTTCGGTATATGTTGATTGTTACACCGAAATCCCATACAAATTTATGAAATTAAAAAAATCCCAAAAAATTAATGAATTGTAATTATTTTTAATGATCCGCAGAAACCCTGGATCATTTCCGCATGTTTTGCTGCTTTGAATTTAATCATCTGGCACATGCTCTCTACCATCTCCAAGAACTCAGAGCGGAGCGGACGGGAGCCACAGTGGAGGATGTATGCTTTGCTTTGTGCAGGCGATCTGGAGCGCTGACGGAGTAGCAGGGATTTCGGGGTTAGCATGACATGTTGGTCATGTTGCTGTTAGCATAAACAAAACGTGTTGCACAATGCTTGCACACTGTTGCACTTTTATCCACAACTTTCTTTCCGCCGTCATTGTAGGTCACACTAAATGCAAAGTGGTCCCATACAGCAGACCTATAAAGTGCTGCTGGCGCGTCTTCCAACTCCTGTTCTCTCCCACTCGCCATACCCACACAATTCTCCACAACAACTGATTTTTTTCTGCTACACCCGGCTACGCTGCTTCGCTTCTTCTTCTTCTTGTTTACTACTGGTGGTTGGCTTTGGTCGCAGTAGCGCCACCTTCTGCTCTGGAGTGTAAACGCTTCGCCTATGAGAAAAAGGAGCAGCGCATGAACCGAACGAAAGACACGCGAACCGAACCGAGACAGTCGAACCAAACGGTTTGGACGGTTTTCATAAACCGTTCCATCCCTAATGTACAGTTCATTGATATTGTGTGAGTAAAATATGACTTTATTTAAAAACCCTTGATTGGGGGTGATTGATCTTCATGCCAGGGGAGCGTGTTCAGTGGGAATCAGAAGGAGATTGCAGCGCAATAGTTTTTTGACCTCGCCCTTCCCAGGCTCCGTTGGACTTTAAAAGACTTAATTTAGTGGATACATTATGTTTTCTGTAATGTTGCGTTAAGTTTTCAAGTAAATCATTAAAATCAAGAAGTGGACTCGTGGATTTATTTGTTGAGTGTTTTTGATACAAGGGAGTCTGACGAGCATCAGGCTAAAGCTTCTATAAGGACAGTAAGAACCTAGGAGTGAAACCAGGGCCTGTTTAGATCAACACCAAAGGGACATCCTTACAAGAATGGTAGAAAGACTCATGAAGCTCTTCCTCAGTCTCTCTCTGTTTTAAGTTTTTATCTTAGTCAAGCTTGAGAAGCTCAGCTCACATAGATATGTGGCGGAAAACAGGAGCAATGTCTAAATAGTTTGGTGGACAGAATTGGGAACTCCTTGGCAACAAATAACTGAAAACTGTCCAAAGGAAGATCAGCGAAGTTTAGCTTTAGATCCAGTTTCAGTTCAATAAGTTCCTCTTCCTCCTTTCAAGTTGCATCCTTCCAGCAACGGATACTGAGCTGTATGGGTCCCTAACCCAGGCAAGGCATTCTGGGAAAGCTGAAGAGAAATATTATGACAACTTCTCCTCACACACTGCAGCAGAATAGCCATCGTGGAGTTTCTCTGTGTGCGGGAACATCTCCAGGTTGCACCTTTAAACAGATCCTGTTCAATCTATCAGTGCTTGTAGCAGGTTTTCATTTCGGCCTTGTATCCGTGGGTTCAGCTCCTTCAGATAATGAAATATATCAGCCACCTTTGATCCCCATTCATCACTCGCAACCAGCTTTGAGCAATCGGACCTTGTTTGTCAAAAATACTTCAAGTTCCTATCGCAACTCATACACACAGGCCAGCAGTTTGCTGCAAGACAGCCAGCGGACCACCATGTGGAGCAATAAGATTTTATATTCTGCTCCCATTTCTTCACACAAAGACGCAAATAAACGACATCTCAAACGTCGCATCTTCCCATAACTCATCATTCAACACATTAGCTATATCTGTGGCTGCGTCAGGACCAAGCATCTCATTTATAATGGCTTTAATAGCTGGCAGTATTAATGTTGGATAGCTTCTCACCAAACACCAAGCAGAGCGGAGTCTCTGCTGTCGCATCCCCGGTCAAAGTAAATCCAAATGAGAGATAGCTTCCGCTCTATTGCATCGCGCTCACCATCTTTTCCACTCATACTAGAACCTTCATCTGGGTCAGAATTTTTCCAGAACAGCATTTGCATTTTCCCCTCTCAAAAACGTCTCCATCACTGTCACTCTACTGTCTTTACAGGCGTTTATCACCCTCTGCTGCCACCAACTGAAATAGAAGAGTATTACATTATCTGTCAAATTTAATTACAGCACAGACACCAGACAACGGTAAATTAGGTGATATTAGATCAAATTCTCACGGCACAGTGGTTGGAAATCACTGGGCTAAGAAACCAAATAAAAATAGTGAGCCATGTTTATGTTTAAAGATGTACAAATATCACTTTGAAGTAGATACTTTTTGCATTATAATTCTACCAATTAATAAATTTTTGAAAATCTATTATTTTATTAGTTCAGTTCATGAGTCCGTCCTGGAATTGTTCTGCTCTTGGGCATCCCATTGGATCCCCAGACAGATGGAACCAATGGAATACATTTATCTATTAAGCACCAATTCATAGCAAGCGTAGAATCAATGCACTTTAATAAGCAAACGGCACAATTTTATTCACATACAGAGAAAGATAATCCACTCGGTCCAACGTAATACAATATACACCCGCTGAAAAATCCCCAAAAACCTCAGGAGGCCTCCTCAAGTTTATGGCTCATACTCAGTATATCCAGCTTGACCTGAGCTGAGCTGCTGTCAGTCAGACAACAGTTTACCTGAGCAGTCCTAAGGTGCATGATCTGATACTTGGCTGCAGGATGGGCTTCATCCTTACTATAAAGACCTGAACACAGGGTCTATGTATGACTTTTTAGTCTCCAATTAGATTTTTCTCCATGTCACACTGATAGGGAGGCTCTGACTAGGCAGGATGGACAGATCTTAGCAGATTATTTTCATTTCTGTCTCCGTGCTATACACACATTAAAACTATTTCCTACATTTGACTTGGGCATATTATGAAACGTTAAAAAAAAAAACACTTGCACATACAATAAAGCAAAGCCCCTGTTGTGATATTTTAACCGTAGATTATGAATATAAGATCAACTAGAACTGGAGCTCTAGATAATTAAAAAATTATTCAAAATCCGAGGGTAAAACCTGGACAAGCTGTTAAAATCCAGTTATTCCTACCAATTCAGTGACTTAGGCTAGCCTGTCAGCTGAGCTATTAACTACCAAATAAAGAAAGATTGTCTGTTTATTTAAATGTCACCAAAAGAAGGGTGAACCTGGCCTGAGTGATAAACCAATCGCTGTACAATAAACACAAACTACTACAAGTTAAAATAATGATGTCTTCATTTCTAACAATCCAGGATTATTAAGGAATCTAACACCTATGCAAACACTACACACCACTAGAAAATAAAACACAAGGTAGACTAAATTAATAATTTTGGAACAGGGGAAAAGAGGTCTAAGAGTTCACCAGATGGCTTATAGGGAGTGTCCAAGGGAGGCCAAATGTCAATACATTCATTAATGTCCGATAGCAGCAGATATAATGAGCAATAATAGGTGCAGTTAAAGCAACGCAAATTCATTCAGCTTACAATGGTTAATTTTTACAAATGTATTACCAATATTGAATTTTAAAACCTCAGCAAACCTACATTCATTGAACCTAGTTTGATAAAGGGGAAAGGCTCCTACGATCCAAAGTCAACAAAAGAAAACATGATGGCGGGCCCCCTAGCATGCAGCCAAGGGGGGTAGAGCAACAAGCTGGTAAAATACTGGGGTGGTGGGTGAGGGTAGGGTTAGTGGTAGGGTGAGGGTAGGGTTAGGGATGAAAACCAGTTGTGGCGTTCGGGCACTGCAAATAACTCCAAACTTTTAAATGTCAGAGCGTCCAAACTTGTCAGACTCTGTTGGGGGGTTCCCAGGTAGTGGCAAATTTGTTAATTTTAAATATTTTTATTTGACCAGCTGTAATTTTCCTTCAAAAGGAATGTTCCCAGTCACAAAGGAAATGGTGCATGACAGTCATTCAGTGGTCAGACCGTAATCATGTGTTCCAGCAGCAGAGGTGTCATAACTTTTTTTTTTTTTGTGATCAATTTTTTTTATTGTTTTTCACATTTTGTACATTAGAGGAGGAACATGTGCACTAACCACAGGTAGTCAAAATTTTGTACAGTGTATACAGATTTGTGTCATCAGAAGTAGAACAACTTTCCTCCCCGCCCATGTTAACACAGATTCTTTAAGTTGCGAGGTGTCACAACTTAAAGAATCTGTGTAGCATCGTGTTGGCAGTGATCACCCCCATTGACTCTCAATGAGAGGTAAGCACCAGTACCTCGTCAATGTAGGCGAATCACTGTCCCCTTGCAGCAGCTCAGCGGACAGGATGAATGAACGGTAGCCGGCGCGCGGAAGATGTCATACACACACCGCTTTGTTTTTGAAAGATGAAAATATAAAAAATATAACGGTGGATGTCTGGGGGACAGTGATTGGCCTACATGTTCTGAATGCTGGTGTACCATAAAGAATAAATTATTAACAGTTTAGTTTGTGCCTTCAAGTCGTTGCCCATAGGAAGACGTTACTTGAATATAACCTAATGGAATATCTTCAGAACGGCTCCAAATGACACAAAACTCATATGGGTGAGTAGAACATGATGTACTAACGTAAAACCAAGGGCCCAATGTCAAAAAAAAAACAAAAAAAAAAAAAACGGTGTTTCCCTTTAACATGACTCTGTTTTAATGGTTGTAACCTTCCACTGTATCTGAATCTTCACCCACTGATCTGTTGGACCGTTTCAGAGATGACGACTGAAACCATTTGTCTGTTTTCTGTGAGCAAACCTGAATCTTAATGAAAACTTGCTGTTATTCATTACACACTTTTAAAGACTTTAACTAATAATTAACATCACTATTATCTCACCTTTTCTCCAGCTTTTGCCACTGTCAATAATTCATGGTTAAGAAGCTGTACCTTTGAACCCTCTGCATACTGATCCCTCTGACCTGATGGAAAACCTTTAAACTTTAGTGTAAGCTAAAATGGGATGAGATTCAGCCTCATGTGGCTCATTTATCACATTAAAATAAAATTTAAAAGAACAAAGCCTTTGAGCAGGTATTAGAGAGATTATTATTTAAAACCACATTTTTGGATTTACAGTTTTTATTGTAGTATTCAGATCTAAAGCCAGCCGGGAAAATAAATATTTAAAAATATTTTGTAAATTTCTCTAAAAACAAAGAATAGAAATCTGAACCAAATACCTGATCTAATTGTGACAGAATTAAAAAAATCTAGGAATCACAAATTGACATTTTTTTGCAGTTAATTTGTATCAATATTTCCACAAAGGTTATTGTAGTGCAGAATAAAAACAGTAACCAGACAGACAAATATAGCTCAATCTGAATTATAATCAGTATAAATCTACAAAAGGGATATTGGGATACTCACTACAACTTCTCACACTGATTGGACAACAAGGTGGTACATGCCCCCACGCCGAGCTTAAGCCAATCACAGCAGCAGCAGCAACTACAAGTGTTTCACAGCCAGTGGAGTTAAGCGATAAATAAAACTCTTCCTAAATCCAGTCAGGAGGAACGCACAAGCCGCGTTCCATCCACAAAGGAAAAAATGGCGCCATTTTGGTCTTTTCACCAAAAGACGCCGAGGCTATTCCAGCTAAAACCGGCGCAGCTTTTTTGTTTCGCTTTGGCCTTCCGCCTCTGCTTGATGTGCTGATGTCATACACATCACTGCATTTCATTGGTCCAAAACATCTCTGTATCCAGGCCAATGCATCCGTTGGCTTCTGGCAGGATGTATTTTCAAGAGTTTGTGAATTTATAATTCAAGGTCATAGAAAGAACGGAAACCTGAAATACTGATCTTTTCATTCTAGATTAATATCAGGAGCATCATCACTAATTCTTTTCATTTTGAGGGTTTTGCTGATTAGTTGCATGTTTTGAAAGTTAAAACCACATGATTTTATTTGACAGTGTGACATAATTGAAATGCTGCCTTTTGGCACTTGGCCTGCTTGTGGTTCATTAAACCGTGACTCAGTTTAAAACCTATTAACCAGTGTAGAAACTAAACTACATACAGACAGAACAGTTGAACAATTAACATAATTGTTTCAAGGGAAAAACTTTTAGAGTTTATTGCAGTTCTGCAGATAAAACAGAGCGGTGATGTTTAGTAACAGGCTAACTGCCAGCAGATGAAGCTGGACTCCAGTCAAAGATAAAGAATATTTTTAAAATGCATCAAATAGGCCGTGTAGCTGATTCATAGCCGTTATTCACAGAATCTCTAAACCTCCTTCTTTATGTGATGAACTCTGAAGAAACATCACAGGTTTATAGATGATCCTCAGTATCTGTTGCTTTTGGTGAAAAATCAACATCATTTGTTTAGATTTACCTCAAAGTAGTCCTGCTTCACAAAGGTTCCTGTTTCCATGGTGTATTTACATGTCAGGTAATCCAGAGCCATGGTGGCAATCCCATGAGAGGCCAGCAGCGCCGCCCGGTACTCCACCAGCTGCCCCCCACCACCCCACAGGTCCAGGAGACCAGGAAAAGGTCCAGGTCCTGAAAACACGTCACAGCTCTTATGCTTCCATGAATAAATCGTCAGTCAGAAACATTTGGATTAAAAAATTATTAGAATTATTATGTATAAGATACTTAATGTTTGTTCTAATAATGTATAATGTGTGACATATTACTGTTCCAGAGAGGTGTTCCACAAGCAGTATAGGTCAACTCTCAGGAAGTATTGCTCAAGCTTAACGAAACCAGGAGGTACTCGGACCATTTGACCGCAAGACATTTAAATGCAAATTGACCTGTTCACTGAGGCTGCAAATTGAATTGTATTTCTTGTTTCCTATTCCTTTAGCACAACCTTAGCTTGTGTAACTAGGGACCCCCCCTCTGACTTTAATAAATAGCGAGGAGAAAGCTGAAGACCGGCAGAGTGGGGTGGAGATGTACCTGCACGGTCTAGGAGTAAAAAGAATGCTGACTCTGTGCCTTTCTTTCCTTGTGTTTTTAACAGTGTTTTAGGTGTTAGACCTAACAAAAATGTAAAAATTTGACGGTTACCTAGGCAACACTTTCCCATCTTGGATCATCTGGTCCACTGCAGGACAATGTCCACTGTTGGAGTGGACATTGTGGAAGCTGCAGTTAGATTCAGCATCATAAGCAACACTGATTTCTTTGTATCCAAAGACAGCAGAATGTCGTTTTGAACTTTAAGCAGAGCTAAACCTAACCTGAGAGAATATCCTCCAGAATTTAATTTCAGTCTAAAAAAAGCTGCAACTGAATAAAAACTAGTTTCTCTAAAACCTTGGATAAAAATGGCAGTTGGGAGGCAGAACAGCAGGATCTAGATTAGGTTTTTTTAACAGTGGCCTAACAACTGCATACTTGAAAGCTGAAGGGATGCAACCAGAGCTAAGGCAGCCACTGAACAGAGCGAGAAGGTATGGGCCCACAGTGTAAATCAGTGTTAAAAATGAACTATGTTGTTGATGTCACTAAAACAGTTAACTTCATCAAGGCAGGGCATTAAATCATAGACAATTTAAGCACTTTTGGAGAAAAATTATATTAAACATGGTGATATAAGCTATGACTGCATGTCAGGAGGCTCATGCTGGGCTAAATGCAAAATGAGAGACCAGAGTCTGAATTTCTGTATGAAGAAAGGACATAACATCCCAGAGCTTTCAGACGAAGACTGGGTGGCAGACCTCAGACCGGCACTAATGAAGGAACTAAAGGTCAAACTGCAGTGTAAGGTAAGGGCCTTGTTGTTCATGAGATACATAGAGCAGTGAAGGCTTTCGTGAGAGAGCTGCAGCTTTCTGATCACTGACCAACACTAAAAACCTTCCCAAGCACACAACCATTTTAGAAGCACTGCATGGAGAGTTTTCAAATGCACATGGTTACTTCTCCATTCATAAAATGAAAGGAAGTTCTAGAAGTAAGAATACTGGTTCTAGTCCACCTGGACTGGTTTCTGGTCTTACCTGAAGGTAGGAAGAGGGTGGCAGTGAGTCCATCCTCTGTGACTGGAATCCGTCGGACACCAGGTGCCATGTACCACCGCTCCACTTCCACACCGGCCAGAGGCTCCTGATCCCCAAAGCCCTCACTCAGGTGACCCTGGTAAACAGAGATGGTGACCACCATGGGGGCCAGGACATTCTTCTTCCTCATCCTGTGGGTACAGGGAGAGTCAGCTGTTGGCAGTGATATACTGATGGACAGGCAGCAGTAGAATGGCAGACCAACCTGAGCCCTGCTTTGCTGCCTGGAACTGGTTTAAGGCTCCATAACAAACCCATAGCTTCCACCCCTGTATAAGTTCCCCCCACACTGCAGTCCTCTGAAACTGAAAACAGGAAGGCAGAAGGTGAAAGACTGGCAGCATCTCTTGTCACATGGCTGTTTCTGTTCATCATGAGTCAGATCCACACACCGTTTACAGCCCCG